TACATGCCCTTAGTGGGAACCGAACCCGGGTCTCTCTGGACCGCAGGCCGATGCTCTAACTGCTGAGCAAACTGACCAGGGCGTGTGTTCTCTTCTTACTGTTTTAGCAACAAAGCCATTCCTGGGGAATGACACAATGAATTTAAATTCTGCTTCCTTGCTGAGTAATGCCACTGTGGATGTAAGTTTCATAAGCTAGTCCCACGTTAACATCAGTATCAAAGCAGCACTGTTTGTAGTTATGCTGACTAATCATGACCTGTCTACATTAAACTGTTTAAGAATGTTCTCAACACAAAATAATTTATTCCCCAATGTTGCCAACATGAGCACATGTCCAAACATTCTTATGTGAAAAACCAAAAACCAAAACCAGTAACACCTACCGGATCCTATGAATAAGTATAGCTAGCCATGGTATTTATTACTTAGATCTAGGCTCATCAGTTGTAAGAAAAATATCACAAATTATTTGTTTCCAACTAACTTGTCCTGAATGTTAGAACCATATTTTCATCATGCTGAGCAACAGTATTTTCAGCAAATGTATATTTGTGTTGAGACAAAAACAGTCAAAATCTTAGTCCATTTCTTTAGTTGGATGACTTTATCTGATTCCTTTCCTTTCTATGTAATGGGGTCTTCAAAATTTTTTTTTTTAATCCTCACATGAGGATTTTTTTCCTATTGATTTTTAGAGAATGGAAGGGAGAGTGGAAAGGGAAGAGGGAGAGGGAGAGGGAGAGGGAGAGAGAGCAAAACATCAATGTGAGAGAGACATTTCTATTGGTTGTCTTCTGCATAACCCCAGCTGGGGCTGGGGATCAAACCTGCAACCCAGGAACGTGCCCTTGACCTGGAATTGAACCTGTGACCCTTTGGTGCATGGGGTGATGCTCTAACCACTGATACACATCAGCCAGGGCTGACTTTTTGATTCTAACCATCCTAGTGGGCGTGAAGGGCTGTGGTTTCTGTATAGTGTCCCTAAGGAGGCTCCAAGGCCAGCAGGGGGAAGGAAAGGAGTCTGTGTGGGGCCCGAGAAGCCCCTTCACAGCTGAGAAGGCCTGGGAGGCCACGGGACCCACAGCGGGACAAGGGGAGGGCTGAGGTTCAAGTCTGGGCTCACAAAGACTATTCTGAAGTGGCACCGTGGGAGGTGGAGGCCTGAAACCCTGGGAAAACCCGTGGATTCGTGGGCAGGAGACGTAGTCAGAATGCTGGAGATGGACCAGCCCCCAGAGGTTTTCTGGCTCACTCTCCAGTCCACCAGGGACCCCCTGTGCTCCCTGCAGTCAGTCAGCCCATGTTTGATAGTTTGGTGTTTGATAATTTTGGTGACACACTGACCCAGGAGATTGCCAGGGCCAGGAGATGGCGCTGATGATGAAAAAGACCCTCTGTGGAGCCAAAATCAACCTTTTTGCCTTCTTTCCCTGCTCCTTAAGGCCAGACTATACACTTTCCTTTGAGGACAATTTTCCTCACTCCTCTGGGTCCTTACCCATATCTAGAGTTGGTGTCCTGGGACCAGGACTCTGGATATAGTCTCATTTGCCATTGACTCTGTACTTCTCATGACGGTCCCTGGAGGATGGGAGTGGGGCCTCCCTTGGACCATACATTGACGGCAATTAGGATTACACTAGATTTTTCTTTTCAGTTCCAAGCATCAGGCTGTGCAAGTGGGAGTTTATAAGCCTTATCTCAATAACTCCCTGAGCTAAATAGGCACGGGAGGCTCACGGGAACCGGTAATGCCCCAGGCAACACTGCCAGCAAGAAGCCAGGCTGCAGCAACCCCAGGTCTTCCCACCCGGGCCTCCTCCCACCCCTGGGGCCCAGAACCCTGTGCTTTGGTTGGGAGGCTTCTTGACAAAGGCAGGTGGGAGAGTCGTGCTGCAGGGGATGGGCGGTTGCTGGCTCTGTTTTGGTGGGACCGGGTTAAGTGATGCCTGCTCCTTACAGTACAGCCTGGCATGTCCCACCTTCAGACCTGAGGCATCCCGCTCCGGGATGTGCAGGGCAGACCAACCCCGGCTCAGTGGAGCTGTTTCCTTGCCTAGCTCACGACTCCATCTTCTCGACTTCCTGAGAGAGCTCCCCCATAGGACGTGAGCTTGCCACGGAGGACTTCATGGCAGCAGGGTCTCTTCTCACCCCAGGTGAGCTGTGCAGAGACACGGCAGCTCCTGGAGCTTCCTCTGGAGCAAATATCCTGCAAGAGGCCCCCTTTCCCCTCTTCTCTCTCCTGTACAGCATAAATGCTGCTATGTTTTTATTCCTGATTGCAACATTTGGCTCCCTGAAAAGCCACTGCCCACTTGTGTATGACCTCAAGTGCCAGCCATGTGGCACTCCTCACGGCCTCTGTCCCCACGGGTGTTTTCTCACTTCTCTGCCTTAGACGATCCCACTTGAAAGGAGGCGTAAGCCTCCAAGTGTCCCCAGAAGCTAACATCTGCTGGATATTAAGGACACTGGAGCATGGACCTGGTGGGAGGCCCCGGGTGGGTGTGAGGTACTCTTGGCCCCAGGCATCAATCTCTCCTGTGCCATCTTCTCCCTGGGGCCTAGTGCATTCTGGAGGGTAGTAGGGACTGGATGAAATCACTGGGAGAGATTTAAAATAACGCCCAAGGTCATGAAAACAGTCACAGGGATGTGTATAGTACAACATAGGGAACAGAGTTAATAATATTGTAATAATTATGTATGGTGCCAGATGGTCCTAGCATTACTACGGTGATCATTTTATAAGTTATATAAATGTCTAATCATTATATTATACACTGGAAACAAATAATGTATGCCAAATATAATTGAAAAAAATGAATCCTCAGGGTCTATCCTCACAGATTCTGGAATTCAGTGGACCTGGGATGAGAGACACCTGCCTAGTGACACAGGCATTGCCAGACCCAGCGTGTATGATCAATATGCATGTCCCTCCCTATTTCTGGAGGTGACAAAAGGCACAGCAGAAACCACAGGGCCTCCATGAGCAGCTAGTCCGTCCTGCAGAGAGCAGATCAGGGGTGGGCGAAAGTAGGTTTACAGTTGTGAGTATGTAAAGCGGAGTTTATTCTCCTAGTCTTTTTTATGAATTATTTTCCCTGCGAACAACTGTAAACCTACTTTGTCCACCCCCATGGGAGAGCTAAGGTTTCGGCAGACAGGGAGAGTGCTGGTGTTGAAATCCCAGGCGGCTGTAGGGCAAGGACCTCAGAGACAAGGCTAGGTCACACTCAAACACCCCAAACCAGGCCAGGTAGGAGCCAGGGCATATGGAAATCAGGCAAAACAGGGGTCTGAAGTTTGGGCAACAGCATCCCCAAAGACTAGGCCCAAACAGTCCAGAACATGGATTCAAGTATGCAATTGCAGGTAACCCGGGTAAATGAGGGAGGTCTGGCTTGACTCCAAGGTACTTTTTCCTGGAATGGGTCCCCAACACCCCTGACAGTCCAGTGCACCTGACCAGGACCAGGGACAGCCACTGGACACTGGTTCTGGCAGGCAGGCTGTCTTGGCAGGAAGAGGGCTTGGGAATCGGGGAGGGAGAGAAAAAATAGGGTAAGTAGAAAATCCATTGGTTAAAAGTAAGACCTGAAGATGTCCCTGAAGGCTGAATAGGGTCAGGAAGGGGCATACCAAGCACGGGTAGCAGGTCTCACCCTCTCTCTCTCGTAAGAGGTGGGTAAAGGCTCTATTTAGGGACAGAGATCAGGCCAGGGAACTCGGAACAAAAAGGTGCCTGGGTGAATATCTTCCTGGAAGTTAGGCTGACACCACGCCCCTGGGGCCTGGACAACAGTCTCCCCACAGTTACTCCTGGCTGCAAAGTGCCAAACCTTCCTGGGGGCCCAAGATCCCATGCCATTCAGCAACTATTTCACTCTCCACTGCTTCGGCATGAGCTCCTTGTATGTTGCATGTGTGAGGTCCACACATGGGTTAGAAGGGCAGAGGCTTAACCATGGGAATTCAAGTGCAGGTAGGCTTATAAGAACTGGGCTGACAGTATGAGAACAAATCTTACAGTTAGTTAGAAAGTGGGCAGTGGTGAGCTGAGGTGGGTAAATGGGGTGTGGCAGGAGACGGACTGGTTTGCTTTTTTCCTCAACTAGGCTGGGCAGATCCAAATTAGAGAAGATCCAAATTAATGCAAGTCTTATTCAAGACCATATTTTCTGATAGCTAGGAATTTTGAACAGTAAGGGGTGAATTGTGTTATGTTTCACTTCTTCTGCAAAGCCTCTATAAAGCTTTTCTGATAACTGTAGCCCCACACTAATTTGCTCCTTACTGAGTCCTAAAGCACAGAGGTTCTCAAACTTCTGCATATCAGAAGAACTTGAAAGGTGGAGGGGGCGTGGGACACTGTCAGAGTTTAGTAGGTCTGGAGTGGGGCCTGAGAATTTGCATCCCTAAGAAATTCCTGGCTGATTGCATGTCAGTCTGTCTTCCCAGCCAGATCTCAATTCCTTTGGAGGCAGCGATTGTGTGTTTTATATTTTCCTTTACATCAGTCAGCATGTTGTTGGACACTTTGATGAAATATTATATATTGAGGATAACTAAAAAAAATGTGGTTTCTTCAAGCAGACAGGGATCAACTCTAGTTCACTTTAGGGTCCCCACATTTTGAAAAAGAGCGTCCGATTTTTTCTCATTATTCACAACTGCAGAGAAAAATCTTAATTTGCTTCAGCAACATTCCAATCTCACAAAAGAAAAGTTTCAGTCTTGAGTTAGGAAACAAGAGTTCATTCCTTCATTTTTCCAAACAAGGTACAGTGCAACTGAACAACAATGCACATTACTGAGAAATGCAACTGTATTTTGTACTGCTCACTACTCTTTAAATAATTCAGATATCAAGGAAAAGAACTGCTAATCACATTAATGCATTACAGAAATCAAAATTAACTTACCACATAAAATAAATTAAAACATTAAATATTAACCTTTTCAGTGCAACATATACAGAAGTCAGAGTAACAAGTTCTAAAAAAAAAAGCATCAGGTTTGTTATAATAAAGATAATGAAAAGTTGAACACTTCATTCAATTATTACATTGAAAGAGGGGTCGTTTTTCAGTCCTGTGTGTGTGTGCTTACCACTAGATTTTCAGAGAGCCCAGTAAAATCAGTGGCTACAGAGAATAGGTCTTGTGTTAGCACATTAAGAGCAAACATAGCTGTTCGTCTGTTTCTGTGATGTCCCCCATGGTCCTGGGCTTTTGAATCATCCCCTCACCCCTTTAACTGAGCAGGTTCGAAGAAATCAAAGCCCAGATCCTACTAAGGGGTCAGGGTCTCCTAAGCAGTGTTGGAGCCTGGTTGACCTATTCCTGCCAAAATGCCTGGAAAAGTAACCAGTGGCCCACGTGTACTGAGACAACCTGGCCCTGGAAGACCTAGCTAGAGATGCCACTTTTTTTTACTTGCAAAGAATAGTCCCCCAAGAAGCTCTAGAACTGAACCTTCCCCTTTCTCACTAAAGTGGGGTGGAGGGGGGTGTCAACCCCACCTCCTCCTCCTTTCTCAGGAAAATAGACTTGGGGGATTCTGCCTACCTCCTCTGCTGGAATAGAATGGCAAGCTCATATCTTGCATTGTCCACATGTGTGCAGATGTGTTTTCCAGATCAGGATCGGCTGCTGTATGCCTTTCATCTAGACAATGTTTCTTGCCAATGTTTCTTGCCAGCATGCTTGAAGAAGTCATGGCTGGTACAGCAGGCACCACAAAAGATGTGGAAGCACCTCTTCCCTTTTAAAAAATGGGGAGTCTTTTCATTTCTCCTGAGATAGGCATCGAAAACAGTGGTGCTCCCCACTCCCAGGTGTGTGGCTGGCTACCCATCAGGCAGGTCTTGGGAATGATTCCCTAACCATCGTGAACACTTGACTTTCTAAAAAGCAAGGAAACACAAGGAACCGGCAGAGATGGATTAGAGTAGAAGGTGCATTTGCATCCTGAAAGGGGGGCATTTTACAATTAACCAAAGAAGTATTAATGCCATAAAATGGCTTAGCAATCCAAAGCTTGTTGGCCATCTGATTTCTAGAAATCACTAATGAAGCAAGGCTGTGTCATATCCTGGGTGTGGACAGAGATCTGACCCGGCCTGCCTTCACCCCAGACTCTGCTTCCAACTCTTTTCAGACCTGGTTTACAGAGGACCGACCGAGGGGCACGTCTAGGGAGCCCACAGTCCAGCCTGTTCACTGCAGGGCTGTGCGGGCACGAGGAAGGGGGCGCTGGCAGCTGCGACTTGTTGGACCCCAGGACCAGAGCTTCACAGACACTAAACCCCAAGGCCCCACAGGGAACCAAGAAGGTTCCCTCTGCTTCCATCCGGGTCTTCTCACAGCTCTGCAAAGGAAGCCTCAAGGCTGGACACTGATCCTTCCGTTCATTAGGTGAAGAAAGCCCACAAACATTTCACATCACTCCATACTCTTTAAAGGCAATCAGACCTCAGAGTCTCTAAAAGACCGAGGAAAGATTGTCCTAAAGGAAAAATGGGACCTCAAGCTAACAAGTGACACTGCTCCTCCTTCATTAGTCTCTCTGCACTGGAATCTCAGACGTCAGAGGCCGAAGGAGGTGAGGGCACAGGGTCTGTAAGTCGGCATCAGCTGGCCTGGTCCCTGAGCGAGAGGCTACACACATCAGCCTCAGCCCACATATCTGTTGTTATAGGACTGGCCCAAGGAATGTAAACTTAAACCCATTTCCTTTTGTAATTAAAACCTGGGAGCGGTGTCAAGGACATGGTTAGGGGGCCAACTGGTGACCAGGTCCCATTTCTGCTCTCAGTGCTTCGGGTGTGTCATGGTTCAATAAAAGTGCCGAAGTTAAGACACGGGTCATATAATTGTCTCAGCTGTAAGAAAGGGAGAGAACTTTCATTGAAATAGACAGACTGGGGAAGAATTAGAGGACAACGTTAACTGGTAGAAATTTCAAGCCAACTTGACATATAGTAAAGGTTACTTTCACGATGTGAGGAGTTCAGTGCACTGAAGGGTTAAATAGGTAGAAATCTTTCATTTTTCCAAATATCAGTGAAGGAGACATCCCTCACATAAGGAGTTTATATATTATTTCATTGCTATTCTGTTCCCAAATTTTAATGAAAATTCCTAGGGATGAGCTCCCCTCTGTTTAGTGGAGGGAAGCAATGCTTCCCACGGGCAGGCCAGTGGGTCAGAATGTACCCTAATGCCCAGGAGAACTAGTCCTCCCGTCTCTGATGGGCAGGCGAGACCCTCATGGTGGAGATGACTTGTTAGGGTTTTTGTTAATAAAACCAGCATCCCAAATGAAAAACAAAAAATTACTGGCACATTTTTCCTTATGCTTGACAATAAACAGGAAACTTAAATTTCTCCTTTTACAAATGAAGTAACAAATCGACCAAGTGACAAAATGGAAAACAAACAACCAATCCCCCTTTCATGGGTGTGGCCCCAAATGCCGTGGCTCTCAGAGGGCCCACTGGGAAGTTAATATGTTTAATCATGGAGCAGGGTAGCAAGTATTGTGTTTAACCCGTGTAGACACACACACAGGCACTTTCCTTCTCTCTCCCCTGGCAGAGGTGACAAGTCTATGCTGCTGGATTGGCTTAACTTTTCCACCAGAATGTATCTGGGGGCATTTACCTGCTTTGTGTCTTAAATGGCACAGCGTCTGAACTCCAATCTTTGCTCCATCAGCAGCTCAACCTCTGCTTCCATCTCTGACCCTGCTGGGTGGCTTTTCCAAAGCCTTAGCTGTCCCAAAGAGGCCATTTTTAATCAGTATAACTTTGCAGCCAGCAATACATCCATCATTAATGTAGAAGTCTAAAAAAGTTTTATGCTTTTTACATGGACTTAAGAGATTAAAAAGAAAACTATCATCCAGCTAATAAATAAGAAATTATCTCCAAGGGTGGTGGCGACTTGGGAAGGTCCTCAGCACTGCGTGTCTCTGGAAGACGCTGGGCTGGTTGAGGGTCTCGTGGACAGAGAACAGACACGGCTCTTCTTTAACGTGGCGGCCTCACATAACAACAAGCAGTTCCCCTTTCTCCACCTTCTTCCCCGGCAAGTGGATGAGAAAACACTGAAACGACGACAGAATCTCCAGTGTTGGGCCGGATGCATGCTGTTGTGGGCCCATTGAAAGAAACACAGCCCGGCCTCCGTGAACAGTAGAAGACAACTACACCTGGACTGACGCTGACTGACGCACACACTTTATACAGGTAAACGGGAAGTCCGCCCCTTGTAGTTCTGTCTTGACCAGAAATTGGTGATCCACCAATTTCTTTTCTAGGTCACACTGAATAACCCTAAGCAGACAGAGTTCCTGACAGAGTTTTGAAGGAAGGCCCACAGAAGACAGAGGCCGCGCGGGTGCTCCCCGGCAGGGGAGGGAGGTCTGCCGGCACGCCCCAGGCATCCCTTGCTGGCCGTCCCGAAGCCGTCCTTTCTTCATCAGGCTGCCGCGGTCCACCTGGCCCAACTCCTCGAGGCTCTTCAGACCACTGCGAGGAAGGAAAAACAGGTTAAGCTCTGTGGGCCAGACCCCAGCCATGCTGGCAAATCAGGCTTGGGACAGAAACTTGGAGATGCGTCAGCCAAGGTCACCAAGTTCCCTTGGGCATTCAGGCCTGAGTCCACATTCTGCTGGTTCAACTTCAGGGGCAGCAGCTTCTGAAACTGTGCTTGCAGAGCCAAGGGGAGGGCTGGCCGAGGTGAAATGAGCCGTGGCAGGAGAGCAGGGGGAAGCGCACTGCTGTGTGGGCCGCAGTTCGGCTGGAGGTGATTTGACCCAGCCTTTGGCCAGTTTAGTGGGCAGCTCGTGAGCTGGTCTAGGACTCTGGTGGTAGAACGGCTCCCCCTATGGCCACACAAAAATGCGCCCATTTGTTTCTCAATGAGTAGGGGCCCTGAGGGTATCCCCTGTGGCTGTAGTGGTGAGGCAGCCTGGACCTCACTCCCAGCAGCTCCTGAGTCAGCCAGGACAACTTCTTACCCTGGTCCCTCCCATAGTCCCTCTGGGGGCATGCATCATCTCAGGGACAAGGGCTTCAGCCTCGGTGGCCATCTCTGGAAGGCCAGACCCACCCTCAGGCTCAAGGTTAAAGTCCTCAAGTTTGGGTAGAAAAATAGTAACATTAAGAAGAAACTTACTCTACCCGGAATGACTGTTGAAGTGTAGACAAATGGTACAAAACTGACTATAAATTTTCTTAAAAGGTGTAAATAATTTTCCTATTGGTGCTAAAAGATAAAGTAAAAATGACCTCTATTAGCTCAATGGATGGCCCCAGAGGTCGTGGAAGAGAGATGTGAGTGAGGCCGTCAGGAGCCTTGGTTCTCCTCCTCGCTCCCCCACGGACTCATGGTGGGACCCCAGCAGGCTTTTGGAAGACTCAGTTGACCTGTATCACCCACAAATTCCCCTCCTCCTTAAGGCTATTTTGAGGATTAGTGGATTAGCATCCGCCCAAATCCAAAGAACTGCCTGTGCACAATTACTGTGGTTGCTGAAATGAAGAACAAACACACAGTGCTCTTGGTCTTCCGTTCCCTCCAGATCAGATACCATGAGGTTTAATGAACACATCAGTCTTCCACCTTCCCAGTCACTCTTCTTCCTATACTCTCCATGCAACCTCGAGCTTCTGGAATGTCAACTGTTCACTAGAGAAGGACACCTTGGGGTAGGTCAGCCCGGGGTAATTGCCTCCTGACCCACTACTTCCTGCAAAGAAACGTTTATGATGAGATCTATTGGTCTAAATAACATTCTAGAAAAACTGCTGATATATTTCTCAGGGCTTTTCTGGATAAAGGAGCAGTTTGGCTCGGTGAGCCCCAAGCTAGTGAAGCTCAGATGCGGGCTCCTGAGATGTGTGTTTGGCCCACGCCTACACGTGCAGCCTGCTTCGTGGCGATTGAGAAGAATTCATGAAACAATGGAAAACTTAATGATGGTCACAGGATCTAAGAGTTTAACGAGTCCTTAGAGAGCTTCTATCACTTCACAGATGGGAAAAGGGAGGTGATTTTTCAAGGGAAAGAAAATGAACATCTGTTGGGTATCTACTGTTAGTGATAATAGATACTTTATGTCATTACTTATTCAATTTGTACATGTTTTTAAATATGAAAACTGAGGCTCAGAGAGGTTACATAACTTGTTAAAAGTCACACAGTCACCAGTAAGGATAAAAGAGCTCCCTTTTGAGTAAAATACACCTTAGACTAAACTAAACCTGACTTGGTAGACAAATATCGTCTTCCTTTTCTCCCTCTTCCTGCCCATCCTCCAAGAACTTCTGCCCTGACGTGGAGAAGGTGGTCGTTTTCTCCATCCAGTAGTGTCTCCCAAAGGTAAGGGCCCCTCCTTGATGCAGCCCCTTACCTGTTTCTGAGTGGCAGCAAGCGGTCCTTCCTTTCAGGAGGGCACTGGGCTTCTCGTGTCGGCAGATGAGGGCCCGGCACCACTCACAGTGTTTTCGGACCTGGCAGCAGCTGAAAGACACAGAGGACATGGTGGAGGCAGGAGCACCCGGCTGGCGCAGCGTCTGCCTGAGGGGTCTGCTGGGCAGCTCTGGGCTTTAAATCAGCCTCTGGTGGGGGCCTCCAGAGGGACAGACACAGCAGGGGACTGAGGGCCTGGCTGGGTGGTGGCCTTTAGGGCAGCTGCTGGCCAACAACCAAAGGCCCCATTGGCCACCCCAAAGTACCAGCTCCGTTTGTGCCGCTCTGCTCAGGGCACCTGGCTCCAGCTTTCTCGGCCGTCAGAGGGGCCTGGTCACCCACTCAGCTGCCTGCCCCGTAACCAGCAGATGGGTAATTCTGTAAGTGTAGTCATAGCCTTGGAACTGCTGTTAGGACAGGGACAAAGCAGCCACTTCAAGCTGGCAGGGCTGTGCGGGCTTGGGAGGGTGGCTCTTCCATCAGGTATTGCCGGCAGCAAAGCAGGGACCATGCATGGGCTGAACTGACCCATGGAAAGACCGAGAGAATGAGTCATGGATCTCAGTGGCTTTGAGTCTGCCTCTGAGGACTAACATCCTCTAGTTGGGGCAAACCCAACCTCCCGGTGAACCTGTTCACCCAGAGTCCTGAAGCGTTAGGGCCATGACCACTCCTGCCTCCCTCTGTGGGCCGGAAAGAACAGTTTGTAGAGTTAGCATGAAAAAAGAACCAGAGAACTCAAAAGAAGGTCAGAGAACAGAGCGTCATCCATTACCTAGAGATACTGATGGCCGTTTCCTTGGGATACCTTGGAAGACTTCGTTTCCACTCCTTTTAACCTTAATGTGTATATAATCTGTGAATCTGGCTGGGAGGGTCTCCTGGCTGACAGGAGCCCGAGAACAGAGGAGGAAACAAGCCTGTTGCTGTGCTTCCCTTCCTTTGTGGCGCCTGGTGGCAGTTCATGATCCCCATCCCAGCCCTGGGAAGGTTACTGGGGCCCCTGAACCCTTGGGCTGCAGAGCTGAGAAGGGGCCCTGCAACACTGCTGCCCACCCTGCTTCTGGCACGGTGGCCAGAGCAGTCTGCCCAAGGGTCCCTCCTGAGTTGCACAGTCCAGGTTGGGACCAGCTCATCCCATACTGAAGGTCTGTTTAAAATTTAAAAAAATTTAAAAATCCTCACCTGAGGATACTTTCCATTTATCTTCAGACAGAGTGGGAGGGAGGATGGAACGGGGCCGGGGGGGGGGGGGGGCGGGACAGAGAGAGAGAGAGAGAGAGAGAGAAACATTGATGTGAAAGAGACACATTGACTGGCTGCCTCCTGCATGACCCCTGCATGACCCTGACCAGGGCTGGGAACTGAATTGCAACCGAGATATGTGCCCTTGACTGGATTTGAACCCGAGACTCTTTGGTTTGTGGGCTGATGCTCTAACTGCTGAGCCGGACCGGCCAGGGGCCATGCTGAAGGTCTTGATTCCAGACGCATCAGTGATTGCTGTCTCGCCGTCAGCTAGCCAGGTGGACTTGCCCAGGAGCGTCCCAAGGGTAGTAAGGTCAAAGCCTCTTGATGTCTCTGGTATGGGATGAGCTGGTCCCAACTAACTCTGCCACTCAGGAGGGCCCCCTGCCCAGGTAACTAGCAGCCTATTGGGATGAGGGCTTAGCCTTTGGCTCAGAGATTCTAAATTTGGTATCTGGCAAGAACAGGCTGGCAAAGGACGGATGAGAAGTGGGACTGGTTGCCTCCCTAGGAATGAGAGGCTGTCTGTCCAGTAACCTGGTTTGTTCTTGTCTCCAAAAATCTGGTGAAAATGAGCTTTTAAGTCCCTCTGGAGAGGCCCGTGTGGGCACTCAGCCTTATTCTAAGGCTCTAGGACCCTCCTGGCCACAGAAACAGGACCATGGAGGTGATGGGTGAGCACAGGTAGCTAGCCAGCCACGAGAATTGAGGCCTGTGGTCCATTAGGTTGCTCCCGCTCGCCCAGGGAGGGTCTTCATGAGCGTCAGAACCTGAGCTCTGTCCCAGCTTCAACCAGGGCTGCCCTCCACCTGCAAACATGTTTCCCCAAGACACACGGAAGTGGAGCAGATGTTGCTTGGAGAGGAGGACAGGCCAGCCCGGTTCAGACCTCGGCTCTCACCGCCAATGGCTTGTTCCAGAAGGATGGGAGCAGGTCGTGGCTACTGTCAACAAGCTGGACTCTGAAGGGCATTTCATTCACTGCCAGAACCAGGAGCGTGAGCTTCATTTTTATTTTTTTAAAACTTAAAATTTTAAATATTTTTACTGAGGTATAATTGACATACAATAAACTGCACATATTAAAGCATATAATTTGATGTTTTGATATATGTATGCATATATGCAACCATCACCACAGTTAACGTAATGATCGTATCCATCACCCCCTAGGGTCCTAGTGTTCCTTTTAATGATCCCCACTTCTCCCTCCCAGCCCCAAACATACCGATCTACTTTCTGTCACTACAGACAAAAGTGCTTTGTCTACAGTTTCATAAAAATAGAATCATATAGTATGAACTTTTTCTTAACAACATAGTTATTAGACCTTTATATAATTTACAAAGTGATGTCCCCAATAACTCTAGTACCCAACTGACACAATACATATAGTGAATAATATTGTAATATCTATGTTATACTTTACATGCTTATGATTATTTTGAAACTACCAACTTGTAGTTTTTAATCCCTTCCCTTTTTTGCCCATCCCTCAAACCCCACCTGGCAACCATCAAATGGTCTCTGTATCTAGAAGTTTGTTTACGTTTTGTTTGTTCATTTATTTTGTTATTTTAGATTCCACATATAAGGGAAATCCTATGGCATTTGTCTTCCTCTGTCTGACTTATTTCACTCAGCAGGAGCGTGTGCTTTAGATGTGTCCTAATACCACCAAACCAATAAACAAAGACGCAGACACTTATCTGTCCAAAATCCTAGGCAACCTCAAAGGGCTGAAGTCTGGCTTCCTGCATTAACACGCAGCTATTTACTCCAGCCCTTGCCAGAATGACCTCATCCACTTATTTAATCTACACTAAGCTACCGGCAGCTTTTAGCTGTCCTGCGAACTCCCCGTGCGTGTCCAGTTAGCTATAAATCCTCTGAGGGCTTGCTCTGGGACTCAGACATCTCCAGATATTTTCACAGAATCAATCTGGCCAGATGCTGGGCTGCATCCCTAGAGTTTCCCCCTTTGCAGAGCAGTCCAGTTGAAAGATACGGGCAAGCAGACGGGGGTAAGAAACATCCGAAAACAGTTTCTAATGGTCTGGGCTCAGGAAGGCTTCCTGGCAGATGCAAGGCAGAAACTGAGTTCTAGAGGATGAGGAGGGCAGAACAGTCAAAAAGAGGAAGTGCTGTCATTCACTCATCATAATAGTAACAGTGGCCTGGACATGACTTTTTTTTTCTTAATCCTCACCTGAGGATATTTTCCCATTATTTTACAGACAGTGGAAGGGAAGGCTGGAGGGAGGGAGGGAGAGAGAGAGAGAAGGAGAAACATCGATGTGAGAGAGACACATCGCTTGGTTGCTTGCCTCCTGCATGACCCTTTGGTCCTCAGGCCACTGCTCTAACCTCTGCCAAACCGGCCAGGGCTTTCTACATGGCTTTAGGATTTGCAAAGAGCTCCTGCCCAGATGTAACTGGGAGTTGTTTCCAGTTCACTCTGGAGCACCGGGAATCCTCATCACGAAATAGTGTTGGCTCCAAATCCAACAACAGGAGAGGTCGCCTTTATTCTACGTGGCGTCCAGCAGTGCAGAGACCCACTGGTGGGACCCTCCCAGGATGTGTGCCCAGCTTGGCTATCACCAAAGTTCCTCTTGGCTCAGCTGACACCAATCAGCCATCAGAGCAACAAACTGCCGAGGTGGCCCTGTTATCAGGGCATGCTGCATATGTCCCGGGCAGGGCAGGCAGGCGGGAGACCCCACCTTAGGGGCAGCAAATACTCACTGTATCAGCACACACGTGATGATGAGGCCAGCCAGGGCCACGACGGAAACCACCACTAAGGCGGTGATGGCCTGCTTCTTCTGGCTGGCGGCCACCACGGCCAGGAGGTCCGCGTGCTCACAGCGCGCTCCGACATACCCAGAATGGCAGCTGGGAAAGAAAGGGACATCAGCACACTCTCCTGGCAGAAGCTCTTGTTACCCCAACTCCCCAGGGAAGACTGGGCTGGAGCGACCCAAAGCCCTAGGAAAAGCCCAGAGGGACCCTCCAGGTGTCATTAAATCACTCCCACTTCCCTGCACAGGCACCTCTTGCTTGGAGAACGAGGGGTAAGGAACCAGCGTTACCACGTGAGGATGAAATGCTGCGGAAGCACTTTAGCACTATGGTCGCCGTGCCAGCTCTTGGGGGAACGAAGAAGGCAGCAAATGTGTTTATGACACGGGGTTCATTTTGTCAGTTCATAAAAATTCAGGTTATTTTTAAACCAAATGTGCCTGGCTGGTGTGGCTCAGTGATTGAGCGTCGACCCATGCACCAAGAGGTGGCTGGTTCCATTCCCGGTCAGGGCACATGCCCAGGTTGTGGGTCAAATCCCCAGGAGGTGGCCAGTCGATATTCTCTCTCATCCATGTTTTTATCTCTCCCTCTCCTTTCCTTTCTTTCTCTTTAAATATCAATAAAAAACTTAAAAAACCCCAAAAAACACACAAAAACCCCCCACAAAAAACACACAATCAAATGTGTATATTCAGAATGTCTGATGATGAGCTTAAAAAAAAATACAAAACCTGCGGGAGACACAGTCTGGGCTTGCTTATCTTGTTTCAAGTTTAATTAGTTCTGCAAGCATTTACCTGGTGGCCCAGCACTCGGGGCATGCACTGAGGTTGGGCCCCACTACTGACTGGTGACTGTAGGACTTGTGAAGCCACTGATGTCCTGTGAACACTGGTCCTCATTTCCAACAACACCTGGCCTCTCCACCAGAGGATTAGTAAGGGCACAAAGGAAGTCATGTTCCTGAGCTGCGTGTAGTCTTTAAAGGGCAACATCGACACAAGCTGCTATTATTACTGGTATTGCTACTATTCAGGGGCTTTTCCGCATCATCCATTTCAGTAACAGCCTCCTCCTGCGTGCTAAAGGCTAATGCTGCTTCTTCTGCCGTGCTACCCACCCCCATCCCCACCCCGATTCTGGGGCTGTGTGAGGGGTTCTCACATGTTCTATCCACAAGGAGGTGATAGCCATTTTCTGATGCAGGCATTTCCACCTCTCCAAGCATATGATTCTTTTCAATAGAAGATACTTGGCTTACACACTGGTCCCTTTGTCTGGCGTGACTTTCAAACTGTGATGAAAACATTTGATCAGCACTGTCCTCTCAGGTGGGAAGCTTCCTTCCCACAGGGGACTTCCCCGAGCAGCAGCCTTGCACCGAACATCACACACTGGTTTTAAGTTTTGTTTTGTTCCTTCTCCCACCCCCACACCCCCAGACATGGCAATGAGAGCTAAACTTTTTTTTTAGGAGTCTACCTTTTGGTGAAGTAGATAGTCAGCCACCTTCACTTTTAGATTAAAAGACATTTGAGGAACAAGGGAAAAGAAAAGGAGGCGGAGGGTCTCGTGGGCCTGCGAGTATGCCAGCACCAGCCCCTGGGGCAAGCCGTTGGTGATTCTCCTAAACTTGGGCTCCCGGTTGCCAGACCCCAGAAGCCAGAAGGGTCCTTGGAGCCGGGTCCTTAGATAATGAATACCCTCGTTTTGTTAGGATGCTGTTTCATTATAACCTATTTCATTATAATGTTAATGAACTTAACTTTTTTTTTTTCTTTATTGATTTTGGAGCGAGAAGAAGTGAGAGGGAGGGAGATAGAAACACGACTGGCTGCCTCCTGCATGCTCCCCACTGGGGATCGGGCCCACAACCCGGCATCCCCTTGATTCATGGGTCAATGCTCAACCACTGAGCCTCACCGGCCGGACTTAACTCTTATTTATACCAATTAGCCTATGGTAACATTCGTTTCATTATACATCATTTCATGTAAAGTCTCAGAGCATATCAATGGCATTAAGTGAGAACTTACTGTATAGCACATTTTCCTGGACCATAGGCTTTGCTCAATGTTGACAAAAATGCAATTGTTCTAATGTTAAAGGAACAGGTACTCTATGAGGTTAAGATTTATGGCAAACAGCAGATGCTGCAAAAACTGCTCAAGGCTGCCCTGGGACAGCAGAGCACACAAGCTCTGTCTGTAGGAGCGCAGGGGAGCCTTTCGCTGCTTCTCTTTATCCCAAAGCCTGTCTGTTCCCTACCTTGTAGAAAAGTATTTTTTTAGTTTGAATTCAGGCAACTACTTTTCTGTTAAGGATCATGTTACATTTAGCATACTCTTTCTCATTTAATTCTTGCACAGGAAGATCAAGTCATTTGGTTGTGCCCACCCTGCTAGGGAAGAGAGAGAAATTCATACCCAGGTCTGCTGACCCAAGTCTGGGTTCTCACTCACTTTGCAGGCTGCCTCCCGCGCACACTACACAGGGGCTGGGATGAGAACACCCCAGACTGAGCTCTTGATGAAATCTGGCTTTTGGCTTAGCCTCCAATCATAGTAGCACCAAAGATCTGAGGTTATGGGTTCAACGAGGGTGCAAAGGGTTTCCCCCTGCTTTGTAAGGAAGGAAGCTGAGGAGGGCCAAGTAGGATGGATAATGCCACATAGGGTTCTCTACAGACTCGGGGAGAAGGGAGCGGGTCCTGGACAGATGGGAAACAAAGCGGAAGCGGGGGAGATCTCTAGCAAGAAGATTCTTCTTGAAAAGACTCTGGACCACAGAATTCTGAATAAGAACCCTGGCTCTCACAGACTTGGGCTGGGAGGGAGAAGACTGAGGGGCTATGGGACAGGGGCAGATTGCTTGTTTGTTTGGTGTTAATAACAATTATATGATGGCAAAAGTCAAGAAACAGCTCACCCTGTAGGTTATGGAGAAAACAAAGACAGTGGCCCCTCCCACTAGGGAGGAGCTGCCGGCAGACCAGACTGCAGGCTGAAAGGCCATGAGCAGGCACAGGCTGTCGGTGCTAAGAGAACCCTGCCAAGGGTCCTGTCTCTGGCCCATCCCCGAGTTTTCACCCCACACCCAGGTGGCTCCCACCTGAGTTTTAGGTTTCCTCTATTTGGTATCTGACACCCCCTCTCTGCAGGGCCCCAATGTACCCCCTCCACTTTATTATCCATCACCAAGGTTCTGGCTAACCCAAGTTGTCCCTCCCTCCTCACTAGCCCAGTGTCAAATAAACTCCTATCCACACATAGGCACTCTGGACACACCTGCCTAATGAGAGAATGACTACCCTCCCACTTGCCCATCTCAACTCCTGTTACTTTCTCTGCCTGGAATATCAGTCCAGGGCAAGTGGAAATATTTTAGGTACATTCAAGTTACACAGGAAGGAAAGAGTCACCTCAGCTGATCACAAATAAATGACACTTGACTCTCCTTTACCTCAGGTAGGCACTGGTTCCCACCTGGCTGCACATATGAATGACCTGGGAAGCTTTGGAAACTGCCAGGGCCAAGGTCACACGCCAAGGGATGACCATCCCACTGCTCTGAGCACCCAGTGATTTTACTGCGCAGTCAGTTCTCAGAACCACTGAGGCAGAACCATCATCTAAGTACACAGAGTCTAGGACCAACAATTCAAAACCCACCACTTCTCCTTTCTCCCTCCCTTTTTCTTCTTCCCGGGCCCCTCCTGGCATTCCCCCAGGGTGGCTGTACCCGTTTGGGACAGGAATCTGAGCAAAATAGGAGTGGTTTTGTCTGTCGCAGAGGGGAAGGGGAAATGCGTAGGGCTGAACTTGTAACAAATATCATTTGGCCATTCAGTTTCATCTGTCCAGAGTGGGTTTTGCCAAACACAAGGTTCTGGAATGCTGTTTTGTCTTCATAATGCTGACAATGAGGCTCTGGAATCACATTCAGGCTATTTTCCCAAAATAAGAACCAAAAGGAAAGAAGTGCATAAAAAAGAACGAGTGCAGCGCAGGCGGGCAGGGCGTCTGTCTGAGCTGGGCCGGGCGCGGCGTGGCCGCAGATAAAAGGCAGGAGCTCCAGCCAGGGAGTCCCTGAGGCCTCAGCATTTTTGTCCCTGATGAAGTCTGGAGGTTACTTTGGTGCTTTGCTTAGGAGCAAACTTTACGGCTGCAGGTCTGTTTCAACAAGAAGAATTACACTATGACGATACGTCTTTCATTCTCCTCTGTGGCGGCTTTAGGGTCTTCCAGTCCTGTGAAGTTGCTCACTCTCCACCCTCAGCCCCTTTTGCACGGGGTTCACATCGAGCGCCCTTTTCACAGTTTAAAGAAATACGAGAATGCATGTAGAGCTGTGCTCTTAAAAATTTTTTTTTCTTTCCCCAACTAGTAAAGGAATGTTTCTTAGCAAATTGTAAAGTACATAAATTATAACAAAGCAGAAAGAAAAAGGAATAAGAAAGCCCACATCACTGCCCGTCCACTCCTCTAATGGCAGTCCAATTGACCTGTTCCCTTCCAGACTATTTCTGTCATTTTTAACAGTTTTTAAAATACTTTTGTATCAATTTCTCATTTAGCATCTCTTCACCATTTTACTATGTGATTTGAAACTCTGCAAAAGTCATTTAAAATGATTGTACAGTAATTGGTGTACACGGTTTGCTTTACCAAACCCTCACCATTTAGGCTGATCCCATATTGAGAACATACATAACGCCAGGTGATTATCTTCGTGTACACATCTCTGTTTACACTTGATATCATTTCCTCAGGATAGGGTCCCACAAGTTAGTACAACATAGTATAGACTTGGGAGCCAAATCATCATGGGTTCAAATCCCATTTCCCACTTAATGCCTGTGTGACCTTGAGCAAATTACTTAATCACTCTGTGCCATGGATTCTGCAACTTTAAAATGTGAGAGTCATAATACTTACCTCATAGAGCTTTTGGGAGCGCTAAATGAGTTAATATCTTATAAAGTGCCTGGCACAAAGGAAGGGCTGTCTGAGTGCTCACAATGTAAATAAAGGATGGGAGCTTTCTTAAGGCTTTTGAGAGACGTTGTCTTATAAACAATGATGCACTCT